TATAATATATAGGATTTAACTACTACTTCTACCTTTCTCTTCTTTTTAATAAAAACTTATCTAGCTACTCTAAAGTGTCTAAATATAATTTGCTATAGCAACTTTTATTTTCACTTCTAGCTTCTAATTTATTAGAAGATTTCCTATTAAATTCTTGGATAGTAGTTACTAGTCTTGTCAGAATTGCTTTTTTCTTTTTTAATTTTTTCTCCAAAGAGGCAGAAAATATATATATATATAAACAAGCAAACAAATAAAAATAAAGATAAAAAATATGAAAAACAAAAAATAAAATAAACAATTTTAACAGTACTAAATTAGCTTGTGCCAAGTCTAAAAAATTATATACTACTTTTAAATCCAATTTTACTATATAATATAGGTAAAATCTAAATAGTGCCCCTATACACATTATACCCTTCCTAAGTTTTAATAGCGAACTAATACAAAGATTAACATTAGGGTTAGAGTTAGGGTTAGGGGTTAGAGTTAGCTGAGTGTTTTTTAGATAATGATCATTTTTTCTTAGTTGCACAACAGGGTTACCCTAGTAAATTTTGAGATATTAGCAATTTTTAACAATTTTCATAGTAAGGGGCACAATGTGTATAGGGCACTATCTAGTCCAGTTTATATATATATATTTTAATACAAATAAGTAGAATTTTTGCCAAGATTTTTTCAGATTATAACTATCTAATTGGTATTTGTTTTTTCTTATATGTAAATCTATATATAAGCTATACATAATTGTTTTGTAACTCCAATTTTCAATTTAGTAGTAGTATACAATACAGATTTTTTAAAGAAATATATTGAATTTTTTATTTTTTTAGAAAAAAATTCTTAAAAAAAATTTCAAAATAAAGTAAAAAAAAAGATAAAAATATATATTTACAAAATCTTCAAAAGGTATATAGAAAAAACAATAATATATTTGTTGTTTTCTTGTATCTTTATTGAAAACTGCCTAAAAGGCTTTATTAATAAAAAAAAATCTTTTTTTTTTTACTAAGATTTTTTATCTTTATAAAAACTATTACTTTAAAAACTACTACTATATCTCTAACAAATATATTGTTTTTTTTAATGGAAAAAGTTTGGTACAAGTGATCAGCAAAAAGAGTTTTTTGAATATAGAGAGTTTGTTAAATTTTTTAATACTTTGTTTAAGTTTTAAAACAGATAATAATTGTTATAGATAATTGTGAAATTAGATAATTGTAAAATCAAATACTATTTAATATAATTTTTAAAAATTTTTAAACAATATTTTTTTATATTTTTTTTAAGATTTAAACTAGGATTTAAGATTAAAGTTTAGAATAAAAGAGTATAAGTAGGACCCCAGATATTTAGAATATAAATCATATATAAACTTTTTAGCAAAGCCTCTAAATTTGAAAAACAAAAAAACAATAGTTTTTTGCAAATATCTTAGCAACCAGTAGTCCAATTTGGATAATTTTTTTTTAAATGAAAGCTCTCAGTGAGACACACTTTTAAAAAAATTCTTATTCAATTCTGACTACTAGATTTTAAGATATTTAGAGAAATATAAATTTTTAGTTTTTAGCAAATTAGGCCAAATCAGCCAAAATCTAAATATAACCTAAATTAGAGATATCTAGGGTTCTGTATAAGTGGGTTTTAGTTTTAAATTAAGACTCTTAGATTTTATAATCATCTAATTTCACAATCATTCACAATAATAATTTATTAATATATAGTGTATAAAGTATAAAGTTCAAGTCTCTTTGCAATAATAAAGCTAATATTGTAAATAATTTATAGTAGTAGTATATTTTTGTAAAATATAGCTTATTTTTTCTTAAAAATTAACTTTATATAACTATTATATATAGTACAAATTTGCAAATCAAATATGAATAAGCAAAAATAATATTTTATTATAAATAATAAATTGCTAACTACAATTATTACAGAGTTAGTATTTAATTAGCTTAGCTAGCTTAATTAGCCAATTTTTTCAAAAAATTAACCTAGTCAACTATAACAAAAATTTAAGGAAATATCTAATAACTTTCAAAGTTTAATCAAATAAAACTTAGATGAGACTAACTAAATTCTGTGTTTTTATATTATCTTTTAGAATTTTCTTTTTTTTCTTACAGTAAAAAAATTCATATAAAACTACAAGATGCAAAAATATCATTCTTGATGAATTATTGGTACTAATTTTGATGGAGTTTAAAAAAATTTATTTGAATACCATTCTTAATAGGATTCTAAAATGAACCCTAATTCTAATTTTTCATATACTTTTCTATAGTAGTATAGTATTTTAGAGGTCTTTTTTTCAAACTTTATCAAGAACAGTATACAAATCAATTTTTTTTTTATACCTATCAAAAACAGTATTAACGATCCATCAAAAATGGTATTTTTGCCTACAAGATATTTCAGAAAAATTTTATACAATTATGGAACAATATAGAAAAATTTTATAATTTTTTTTTTAAAATTTTATTACATAAATTAAACTACAAATTTTTTCTTCTCTTCTAGACTTTATAAAAACTTGTAAAAAATTAATAATGAGTTTAAAATTAGCAAATAATATTTTTAAAACATGCTTACAATATTTTTTTCAGATAATAGGTTTACAATGGGTTTATAACTAGTAATTATTATATTTTAATAATATTTTTAAAAAAAAAACATAATTACAACATTATGATTACTAGTTAATAATATTAACTAGTTATTATTATATTTTTTTTAAAAAATGTCATTAAAATATAGTTATAAACCCACTGTAAACCTATTATCTGAAAAAAATTTTATAAGCATGTTTTAAAAACATTATTTGCTAGTTTTAAACCCATTATTAATTTTTTACAAGTTTCAGTAAAATAGTATTTGAGGTTAATTTAAAATACAAGAAAGTCGAAGCTTATATTAATTAAAAGCTTGACAAAAAAAAGGCTATGTCAAATAGGATATAGAGCATGTAAACTTTGTATTCTTTTTCATCATTTATTTTTTTTCATAATCATTTATTTTTTTTTTCTGTTGCATACTTGGCATATTCAACTAAGATTTTTAGGTTTGCTCCCGAACAGCCAATTTTTTAGATAATTGCAGAGCTTTCGGTCATTTGATAGGGTATAACAGAATACAAGATAAATTAAGCTCTGATTCTTTAGAGGAATGATTCAACAAAGCATTGTCGTTAAAGACTAAGAACCTTTAAAAGGTCGTCTAGAATTTTCTGGGTAGAGTATTCAAATTTTGATTGTTATCACTAGATGTGAGACAAATGTTCTAGTAGGTAGATTTTGTCAGATAGTTTGAAATAGGATTTTGCTATGTCTAGATTGGGTTTAGTATTAGAGTAAAAAGAAATTCGGGTAGTTAGAAATAGGTATTTGATATATTAAGAGTTTAAAGTTAGAGTTAGAGATAAATAGAATGGGTTAAATTAGAGATGGTTTGATATTAGGGAAATGGGGTCGGGTTTGTAATTAGAAATAGGATTAGGTTTTAAAGATAAGGATAGATAGAACAAATCCGAGTTTGGGATAAAATAGATTAGATGGGTTGAGTTAGAATTAGATAGAATAAATTGAGTTGAAATGGATTTCGGGTATTTAAAATTAGATAATCGAGTAGTTTGTAAAGGAAAATTAGAATTGGGTTTAAAAATATTATGTATACATATTGAATTAAATTTAGTGTAATAAATAAATAAGTAATTAAATAAATAAAGAAATATGCCGTTTAATAAATTGCATATATGCTAAGAACTATAAAGTTCTTCACTTTGCTTTAGTCACATGATTGGGTATGTCGTTTCAAATAATTTAGAATTTTTTTTTTTTTTTTTCAGTTAAGAAAATTATAGATATTTCTTACTAGAGAGTATGTAGTAAAACTTTCCTAGCTTTAGCATTTGAAGAGTACATGATAGAATCTTTCTAGCTTCAATAGTATTATATAGACTTTCGAGTAGTATAATTTCATGTGTCAATCAGTCACGTGATCAATAATGTACTACCTGTTGTACATACCAGATACACCATATCATATGTATATATATAGAGTTCCAAACCGGATTAAAAACTCAAACCTGTGACCCATTGGGTCACCTGTTTTTACTAACTGGTTAACCAGATAACACGGTTATCCAATTAGACTAGGCAATATAGATATCTGATTGTACCAGATTACACAGATACTCTAATCCATTACCCAGAATTACGATATCATAACAATGCAATTATTAACTTTTTTTCAAATAAGGAGTTTATACGTTATGTTACTTATTTTATTTGTAAGATTTCTAAGTTTTCTCTTTGTGCATTTATATCTTAATTGCACTTAATAAAATATTAAAATTATTAATACCCAAACTAAGTTTTGCCAAATAACAGTCTGTATACACATATTTATAATTAGAAATTCAAGTTAAATAAAAGTGTAAATAAGTAAATCTGTGCAAATATAAATTAAAGTATGTTCAGTTATAAAGAGTATAAAATAAAATAAGCATATTCATAAGAATTTGATCTAAAAAAAGCCTACCAATTTATCTGATTAAAAATTTCACACATTTTTATTTATCTATTTCTTATTTTTTTTTTTTCTTTATAAACTAGTGCTTTTTTTAATATGATAGAGATTAGACATTTGGAATACAATTTCTCTTCTTATAGCTATCTCAATTATTGATACAATCATTTATTATAACTAAATTGATTCTATTATATGATACAGCTATTTTCTGATAATTCTCTAGAGTTAATAGATTCTTTCTTTTGTGATTACTATCTGATCTTAAATTTCTCTAGCTAACATATTCATATTCTTCAAAAATAAGACAGATAATAAATTTGTCTAATCTACGATCTAATCTATGATCTAATCTCTAATATTCTATCAGGGTCACAAGATAGATAATATCTATTAATCCAAATAGCTTATTAATTTCTAAAAACAAAATTACTATTCTTATAAATATATCTCTTACCTATATTTCATACTTCATCCAGCTTAAAAATAGAAAAGTGCTCCATATTATGCTTGAGGAACAACATTTGTTCGACCATATCAGGCTGAAGCCTGTTATGCAATACTGTTATATACTGCCCGGTATCTAAAAACAAGCGTTTAGAAGAAACCGATATAGCTGATATTGATAAATATTTCCAGGCTAGGTTTGATAAAGTGGGAAATTTTTCTGCATTGTTCTGCCACCATGAATAAATTACATTCTCTTTTTTGAATTGGTTCATAAAGATAATAATCAACTCAGTTTCTTTATAAGCATTATCTAATTTTTCATTATTATACAAGTCTAGAACTAAATCATTAGTTATTGCAGAATTAGAAGCTATCATACTAGATGACTCAGTAAACTCATAATTTTTTGAAATCTTCTTAGCTAAAGGCTAGTGATGCTCTTCCTCAGTACAAAGTCTCCATACTGTGTTGATTGTGATTCGCTTTACATTTTCTTCGATAGATTTTAAGTTTTTTATTCGTGGGTCTAAAAATAACGCAATAAGCCCTGTTTCTTCTGGAACATTCTAATATTCTTGAAGAAAAAGATAACTTGCTGCTTTGACTAGGTTATATAGCTCTTCAGTAGCAACAGGCGGCTCTATTAAATGCCGATTTTTAAACCATGGATCTTTATATTTTTTAGAAGTATCCTTTTAAACTTTTTTATAATTTTGCTTTTTTCTTCGTCCTTGTGATATGTGTAATGGTTGTTGAAGTTTTTTGTAATTATAGGCATTTATCGTCAAATTCATTAGAGTTTTCTTCATAAGTAATTAACTGACTTTAATCATTATTTATTTGTTCCCAACAATAAATCGGCATAATCATCTTCAGTTTGCTCATCTGAGGGCACAAACTTTTTAATAAGCAGTCTCATCATGGGATAGATAAGATTTAGTGTAAGATAGGTTGAGCCAGAAAATATAGTAGTAGTATTATAGAAAGGCTTTAGCAAACAAATAAGTTTTTCTAACAATTGCCATTCACTATCAGTTAAGTTTACTAATTTCAAATACTCTCCATCAAGGCGATCACTTCGTTCTGACTCAGATAGTAACATGATAACAAGATAATCAATTGCTTTACGTAATTCTATAAGTTGGACTCAAGCCAAATATGAGGAATTCTATTTCGTTGCTATGTCCTCAGTTACCTGATAAATTGTTGAGTAGCGGTATTTTTCTTGTGCATCTTTAAAACGATTAGTTTGTTTAGGGCTTTTAAAGAAAAAAAGAATCAGATTTTTTGCTCTTTTAATTAATTGTGCTACAGGCTTAAGACCTTTTAGAACACTTAATTGAAGTGTATGAGCTAAACAAGCTAACCACACAACATTATCTATTAAACTAACTGCTTTTTTAATGTTGGCTCCATTGTTTGTTGTAATATAAAAGATCCTTCCAATTAGATCCCACTCGATAATAATTTGATTAAGTGAATTTTTAATATTTTCAGTAGTGTGTGGTGAAGGTAGTGGTTGGATAGTCAACAAAGCCTCCCTTAATACAAAGATTGAATCAGCCCATATTGCCATTACTCCGATATATTCTTCATTGGTCCTTGAACTTCATAAGTCTGTCGTTAAATTGATAAAACCACCATCCGTATTTATTATACTAAATAATTGATCACGGCTCCAATCAAAAGCCTTATTAATTTTTTTTATTTCACAGAGAATCTGGAACCCAGGTTTCATATCATTTAAAAGACGACGAAAGGCATTACAGCACAAAACATTTAAAGGCTAGCAGTCTTCAAGAATAAATTTGATCAACTCTTTTGTTTGTTTTTCTTGGCAGTATTTGGTAATAATATGTATTACCTTGACAATTGGGCCACCGGCATTTGTTCCATCGGGATGTTCTTTATCTATTTGATGCTTGAACCAAAGATGGCTAAGCATATTTCCTGTTGATGAGTCATGTGTATATTTAACTGTTATATTTTTTTCTTTACAGAGTTGGCATACATTAACAAATCTTCCTTTTTCTTTTTCTATTTTAAAATAATCTCATGCAATACTATGATTGCTTCTTTTTTTCTCTTTTTAGTTTTTTCTTTTTTGTAGAATTCTTTATCTTGAGATAGAGGTTCAGGAGATTCATAATCTATATGCGGTTCTTCACCTCCAGGTGATTCTTTATAATCTAAAAAGCGTGTATCATGTATATTGTACACATCATGCGTATTGTATATATTGTATGTATCATGCACATTGTGTATATCATATATATCGTGTGTATCGTGTGTATTATTCATATCGTATGCATCATGCGCATCACCATCAGACATGTAATCAAACATAAAATAAATCGAACTTTTTACTATCTGTCCTTTTTATTACTATAGGTTGAGATATAGTATTTTAATACTATAATTATAATATATTTGCTAAGAATTATCATTTTAATTTTAAAGCGATTATACAGTACCTGTAACTATAATTCTCTTGATGACGTTTTGCAATAATAATGGTATGTAGTTAAAAATAGCAGGTAACAGTTAACAGGTAGGTGACTAGAAGATTACTAGTGGTTGTGATTTGTGGGCAACTAGAAAACTACTTGTGATTTGTGGGCAACTGGTGGGAATAAAGTTGTAACATGTAGTTAGGGTTCCAAAGTTTGATCCGGGTTTGATTTGAGTTTGATCAAACCCCAAATCAAACCAAACTCAAACTATAAATTTTATAAAAGTTT